ACCACAAAGCATTCACCATAATTTTGGTATATCTATTTTTTTACAATGATCTAAACCATAAAACAAGCAGAACACAGAATCACCAGTGAAAACAAATGAAAGGCATATCGACACCCTGTTCAGTAAAATTACCTATTCCGCATGAAAACATAACAGTTTTCTGACAGAAGTCAACTCTGAAGTGACAGTTAAGCCAATGACAACCACAAATTTTCAGATCTGATTAAATATATTGGATTAAACATTCAAAATAAAGGTTGCATTTTTAAAGGGCCACTATCTCAAAAATATTCACTATTAACAATGTACACTTCTGAAGCACCAAGGATGTGAATAAACAGAATAAAAATTAAAAATTGGCAGGGCACGGTGGCTCAAGCCTGTAATCCCAGCACTTTGGGAGGCCGAGACGGGCGGATCTCGAGGTCAGGAGATCGAGACCATCCTGGCTGACACGGTGAAACCCCGTCTCTACTGAAAAATACAAAAACTAGCCAGGCGAGGTGGCGGGCGCCTGTAGTCCCAGCTACTCGGGAGGCTGAGGCAGGAGAATGGCAGGAACCCGGGAGGCGGAGCTTGCAGTGAGCTGAGATCCAGCCACTGCACTCCAGCCTGGGCAACAGAGCGACACTCCGTCTCAAAAAAAAAAAAAAAAAATATTAAAAATTAAAATTAAAAAATAGTAATGGCCGGGCACAGTGGCTCATGCCTCTAATCCCAGCACTTTGGGAGGCTGAGGCAGGCGGATCACGAGGTCAGAAGATCGAGACCATCTTGGCTAATACGGTGAAACCCTGTCTCTACTAAAAATACAAAAAAATTAGCCGCGCGTGGTGGCGGGCGCCCGTAGTCCCAGCTACTTGGGAGGCTGACGCAGGAGACTGGCTTGAACCCAGGAGGCGGAGCTTGCAGTGAGCTGAGATCGCACCACTGTGCTCCAGCCTGGGCGACAGAGTGAGACGCCATCTCAAAAAAAAAAAAAAAAATAGTAATAATAACGGCTGAACACAGTGGCTCACACCTGTAAACCCAGCACTTCGGGAGGCCAAGGCAGGCAGATGGCTCGAGCCCAGGAGTTCGAGACCAGCCTGGACTACATGGCAAAACCCTGTCTCTACAACAAATACAAAAAAATAGTCAGGCATGGTGGTAGACATCTGTAGCCCCAGCCCCAGTGTACTTAGGAGGTTCAAGTTCACTACTGCTGTGATCACACCACTATACTGGTGACAAAGTATGACCCTATCTCAAAAAAAAAAAAGAAAAAGAAAAACATTATTCATTTCAAAGTAAGTGATGTTTTGCTAATGTAGGAAAGAACTAACCAGACATAGGATAGATAAGCATCCTCACTCTTACCCTATTATTCTGTAACTACTGAATATTAAAAGAAACCCATGACAACTCAGCATAATCTAAGGCAGACAGTATGGAAAGGCAGCCTGGATAACACATGTAAGAACAAAGCCTAAGTTAAAAGTGTAGGGCTGCACTTTGGTTTTTAACTCTTTTTTTTTTTTTTTTTTTTTTGAGACGGAGTCTCGCTCTGTCGCCCAGACTGGAGCGCAGTGGCCGGATCTCCGCTCACTGCAAGCTCCGCATCCTGAGTTTACGCCATTCTCCTGCCTCAGCCTCCCAAGTAGCTGGGACTACAGGCGCCCGCCACCTTGCCTGGCTAGTTTTTTGTATTTTTTAGTAGAGACGGGGTTTCACCGTGTTAGCCAGAATGGTCTCGCTCTCCTGACCTCGTGATCAGCCCGTCTCGGCCTCCCAAAGTGCTGGGATTATAGGCTTGAGCCACCGCGCCCGGCCAATTCTTTTTTTTTTTTAATTCTTTAAAAGTTGGTAAAGCTTTTTATTTCAGTGTAAACAGAAATGGTATTCTAATTACCAAGCAATGCCACACTACACCGATCTAGTCTAGGTATTTTTTTTTTTTTCATTTTTTTTTTTTTTGAGACGGAGTCTCGCTCTGTCGCCCAGGCTGGAGTGCAGTGGCCAGATCTCGGCTCACTGCAAGCTCCGCCTCCCGGGTTCACGCCATTCTCCTGCCTCAGCCTCCTGAGTAGCTAGGACTACAGGTGCCTGCCACCTCGCCTGGCTAGTTTTTTGTATTTTTAGTAGAGACGGGGTTTTACCGGGTTAGCCAGGATGGTCTCGATCTCCTGACCTCGTGATCCGCCCGTCTAGGCCTCCCAAAGTGTGGGGATTACAGGCTTGAGCCACCGCGCCCGGCCGTGGTATTAATTACTTTATAAGAACTGAATCAGGGCCGGGCGTGGTGGCTCATGTCTGTAATTCCAGCACTTTGGGAGAATGAGGCGGGTGGATCACAAGATCAAGACCAACCTGGCGAACACAGTGAAACCCCATCTCTACCTAAAATACAAAAAAATTAGCCAGGCATGGTGGCGCATGCCTGTAATCCCAGCCACTTAGGAGGGTGAGGCAGAAGAACTGCTTGAACCTGGGAGGCAGAAGTTGCGTGCAGTGAGCCGAGATCATGCCGTTGCACTCCAGCCTGGGCAACAAGAGTGAAACTCCGTCACACACACACACACACAAATAAATAAACGGGTTGTAACACTTCTATTCCAAAATGGAAGTCTTCCTTCCCCTTAAGCTTTTCAGTTAAATGAGAAGACACATAAAAAACCATTAGAAAATAGTAAAATCTCAATTTTCTGCCGTATCTAGGACTGTGTCCCCCTGCTCAGGTTGGCAAAACAAGGTTTGAAATTACTTTACACCAGTTAGATTCCTTGCCAGATTAAAACAAACACAAAATAAGAAATTTGGAAATTTTAATATCAAGACTCAACCAATTGGCAGCAAGACTATGCAGCAGAACAGTTAGATGTTTTCCTTTTTATTTTTGAGACAGGGTCTCACTCTGCCACCTAGGCTGGAGTGCAATGGCAAGATCACTGCTCACTGCAGCCTTGACCTCCCAGAGATCCTTCAGCCTCAGCCTCCCAAATAGCTGAAACTACAGGTACATGCCACCAAAAATTAGCCCAGCTGATTTTTTTATTTTTGTGGAGACGGAGTCTGAGTACGTTGCCCAGGCTGGTCTCCAACTCCTGGGCTCCAGAGATCCTCCAACCTTGGCCTCCCCAAGTGTTGGGATTACAGGTGTGAGCTACTGCAATCTGTTAGATGTTTTCCATTTTAGAATAGCTGATTGCTAGCAAGTTTATGCTCATACCTATTCCAACAAAAAGCCCAAGGACAGTTCAAAATATTACATTTGCTGTTTCAAAGACTACTACAACTCCAAAGAAGTCAAACTCATTACTAACAATGCAGAGCTGACATCAACATTTCAATGAATGTCAGAAATCTAATTCCTGTTGCTGACAAATATGCCCTTTTCCTTAGTCACATCCAACACATCTAAAGTTTTCAAAATTTATGTTAACAAAAATGTACCAAAAAGCCTACCAACTTACTCAAAGATTTGTGGAAGTCGATTTTTAAAAATAATACATTAGGAACATTTGGTGACAAGCTTTATGTTCTGTGTTTTAAACCAAAGATAAGACTTGACCTACAAAATGAAGACAGGGTCAACTGTAACCAAAACAGTATGCTTCCCCTGGTGGCCAACCGAGGAATGGAGGAGCCAAGCATACAAGAGAAATAGCCTGGTCACCTAGTTCTATCCCATTACTCATAAATGATAAGTGACTACCAAAAAAAAAAAAAAAAGAAAAGAAAAGAATTGGAGAGAAGGAAACTATCAAAAACAATAACATGGACTTAAAAGGAACACAAACCTTACGTCAAGAAATCAAAATTTTGAAGGCCAGTTTAAGAGAAGTCATTTATTTCCAGTGTCCAAGAGCTCACCTAGGACCTTTACGTATTTTCACTTCAAAGGGCAGTTTAGTACCTTAATAACAGCTTGAGAGCAATTGCCTTTTTCAAGGACTAGATCACTGGAATTTTCTGCAGTCTTGTTTCCAAGGAAAAAACGTGTATGCATTTATCTTTTCAAATAAACTAGTGGTATAACCTACATAGAGAACCCCAGCTCTAAAGCCCTCCAACCAGCGAGGATTGTTAACTCCAGCTTTACAAGATGCTCTGTTGAATTTTATTTCTGAAATAAATCCTGCGTTCTTTCAAACATTTTCCATACCAACAACCTTTAAAGACAGTCTCATACAGAGACTGGCTAGAATCTCATGCATTAAAATCTGACGAATTCCTTTGTCTGATTGGATTTTTTTTTTCTTGTACCACTTTAAATTTGCTTCTACACAGAATAGCAGCCAGGAAAGTAAGTGTTCCATTCTAGGGTGTAGGACTTTCTTGTAGGTGAAAAGCATTTGTTAGGCTAAAGCTTCTGACGATTCTCAATTTCACAATCTCTTCCTCCAAAAAAAAAGGAAACACACACATTTACAAATAGGTCCTAAAATCAAACTGCCACACGCGAGGCTCTCTTCCCCAGGCAGGCGCCCTCTGGAAAACACACTTCCTTTATTGACTGATTTTGGGGGGTCGTTCTTCTACTCGCTTCTGGATGGGAGGGGAGTCAGGAACCAGCAAGAGCCAGAGGCTCGGAGGAGAAGCAAAGGCGTGGGAGCAGCCTTTGGGGAGGGTTCCGATAAAGGGGTCTCTGGCGACCTCCTAAGTCCGGGGCGCTCGCAGGACGCTAACTCTCCGGCACTGCCACCCTTTACCCCTGGCCGAGGCGCAGCTCACCTGGACGCAGGGACCCCCAGCGCCCCCACGCCAGGTGTGGCCGCCTCCGACGCCACCTGCAGTCCTCGGAGGCGCAAGGGGCAGCGGCGCCGGACCTGCTGGGGGCGACCTGGCCTCCACCGGGTGCAGACGCACGTTTGCAGAACACTCGTGTGCGTGTGCGCCTCCTCGTCCTCGCCCTGCTGTTCTCCCCACGGACGGCAGGGCGAACGCACACACAAAAAGAAAGTTGTCGGCCGGCTCCCGCCCCCTCGGGCTCGCCGGGGACCCGGGGCTCCCGCTCATCCCCGCCGCCGGCCGCCCGGGGCCGCTACTCACCGGGGTCGAAATCGGGCACCACCGCCTGGTACTGGGGTCCGACCCTCATGCCACCGCCACCTGCGGGGGAAGCAGAACACGGCGGTCAGCGCGGCGCGGGGCCCGGGGCCCGGGGCCGCGGGGGCGGTTGCCACCTACCGTGCTCCTCGTCGCTGGACGAGCCCGAGCTGCCTTCCTCCCAGGAGTTGCTGCTGCTGTTGCCATTGGGGGCCGCCGCCGCCAAACTTTTATTCTGGCCATTATTGGGGGTGGCGGCGGTCGAGGCGGCGGCAGCCGAGGCGGAGGAGGCGGCGGCGCCCGAGGCGGCAGTGGCGGCTGGCGAGGCGCAGGCGGCCGAGGCGGCGGCGGCGGCGGCGGCGGCGGCGGAGGCGGCCGCGTTGTTCCTCCCTCTCCGCTTCCCTGAGACCTCGGGGCCCTTCTCCACCATGGCCGGCATCGGCGGGGGCCGGGGCCGTGCGAAAGTGGCGGGGACCCGCGGCTCCTGAGGAGGGGGCGCCGAGCCGGGGGAGGGGGCGCGGGGCCGGCGCGGAGCCGGGCGGGCGCTACGGGAGCCCACGGGCGCGAGTCCGAGTCGGGGGAGGCCCAGACGGGTAGAGCGCGGAACCGCTTCAAGCCCCCAGCGACGAGCCGAGCGCAACTTTCGCTCTCATCGCCGCCCTCACTTCACTGGCACCAACTACTCCGGGAGCAGCGAGCGGAGAGGGGAGGAGGCAGGGGCGGGGCCTGCAGGGGCGCCTGGGGGGGCGCGCAGCCCAACTGACGCGAGATGGCTCCGCCCCCCTCGCACTCCCATTGGCTCTGGTGGGATTTGGACGGCGAGCGGCAGCCGGGTTGGCTCCGCGGGCCCGTCCGTCCGGGGCGGCGGGGCGGGGGAGCGGGGAGGGGCGGCTCCGGGCTTCCGTTGGCGAGGTTCGGTTGACGCGTATCGCCCGCCGTACGTGGTTTGAGGTTTGCCATCTCCCTACGCCCCATGATCCTTCTCTCTAGGCAGCGGCGAGGAGTTCGCGGCCCTCCCCGCCCCCTCCCCTCGGCCACAGCCCCCGCCGCTACTGCCCGCACACGCCTCCCGCGGCCTCTGGCCCCCCTCCGCGGGACCCTGCTGAGAGTCCCGTCGGCTTCTTAAAGTAAAATGTGCCTGGCGCTGGAAAGCCGCGGAGCGCCCGGCCGGGACTACTTTCCGCTGCGCGGAGGGGTACGGGCGCGCTTAGACTCCATACAAAGAGGAAACTAATTGGGGGAAACTCGTTGCGCCCCCGCCTTTCCCAGGGGACGCGGGGCTCGCGGGGGCGGGGGCCACGGCGCTGGGGACGGGCTTCCCAGGCTGCCACCTCCCCTGGCGCGAGCCGCGTGGGGACTCGGGTTTGCCGTGCTGCCCGCTAATTGGGTGGGGGAGGCGGGGACCCCCGGGGTGGCTTGGGTGCGGGGCTCGCCGCCGCGGCGGAGGCCCAAGGGAGGGTCCCCGTGGGCCCCCGGGGCACAGAGTCCCGGCGTGGGGACGCACTAGCCGCTGGGGTGGCTGCTGAAAGATGAATGAACAGGCGCAGCCGTTCTGGGGCGGGGGTCCAGGAAGGGTAAAGAGGAAGAAGCTATTTTCATTCCAACCTCTCGGCGCGGGAGGAGGGTCAACTTCCTCCGGGGCGAGGGCAGCCACTTTTCCGGATCTGCCGCCCGCCCCGCCTCCTCTCTCCCCCCGGAACCCCCGCGAGGGAGAACCCGGTGCGCGGGCGGGTGGGGTCGGCTGAGGCCAGCCTGAGAGCCGCTGCCCTGGAGAGGGACCACCGGGCAGCCGTACAGCTGTGGGGGGCTGAGGGGTGTAACTGCCTTGGAGGTCCCGGTGCCCTACCCCCAACCAACCCCGAAACTACGCTCCCTTCGTAATTAGACCAGTGGAGGTCTATGCGGGAAATCTTTTTAAAGCAGGGATGGCTATTTTTCTTTTAAGTTGCTTCAAACCTGAGATTAATATGGGGACGAGCTTTGGATATAAATAGCTACAGGGAGAATTTGGGAGTTCTATGGTTTTAAAGCCTGAATAAATAAGCGGGGTTTTCTCTTGAACATTTTTTGCAGCATGAACTATTAACTTTATTGAAGAGACCACGTTCACTTCTGCCTAAATGACCTTTAAGAAACAGGGCTGGGACCCCTGCTGGTATAGAAGCCCTGCCCCCACCAAGTTCAGGGTCGTAACTCTGGGACTCTCCTCCAAAGGATGTTTCTCTCCTTGGAGAGCCCTGGATGCTGCAGGTGTGTGCCCCGATACACCCTTCAGCTGGCCCGGGCAGGGTACAGAACCGGGGTGGCATTCCCGGGGCTGGGCCACTGGCTAAGGCCTCTGACTCATCCGGAGGTGAGCCCTGTGTGAGGAATGAGGTCCAGAACACGCTGCCCCGCTCGCTTGGTGTCTACAAAGTTGTACCACCAGACTGGAAGATCAACCTACAAGGGCACAAAGCTGATACTGGGTCATTTATTAAGGCAACAGGGATAGCAGAGCACACAGGGCCACCCTCTCCACCCACCAGCCCCCAAGGCTGAGGCCAGGCTGGGCTACCAGTAGGGGTGCAGCAGTGGACTTTAAAAGCATTTTTTTTTTCCCCAGCCAATATTAACACTTAACATGTGTCAGCCCCTGTTCTAGTTTGACCCTAATGCTACACGGATACTATATTGGCCTGAAGCTCTCAGATTTCCCAACGGTAAAATACAGAAAACAGTACCTACCTCCTGGCCTGATGGATTGTAATAAAGTCCATCCTTCCGGCGTAGGGAACCCCAACCTTAAGGACACCCGCCTTCCCATCGCTTGGGGAGAGGGCGCCACCACAGCCCTGGGATTGGGAATTTGTGATCCCACACTTGTAACGCATCCACAAAGCCGGCAGCCCTACCATGTTTTTCGGTGAGACTCCCACTCTGAAACTGAGACCTCATGCCTGTTCCCCTCTCCTTACACCTCCCACAGCCCCTTCTGCCTGGGCTCCCAGCCCGTGGCCTTACCTCATTCTTCAGAGAAAAACGAAAGCCTTCAGGATCTTTCTCCTCTCCCTGTCCCCAAACAGACAAACCTCCCTGTTGCGTACCCACGTCCTACTCGGGCCGGGGACCCTCTCCCGCTGCCCTCCCCTTGAGGCTTTTCTGTGCCATCAGCCTCACTCTGGACCGACTCCTGCCCCCCACCCCTCTCCGGTCTTGCCATTTCTCCCTCCCCTCAGACATTTCCGAAGACTTCCCTACACTGGCTTCCTCAACCCCCTCCCATCCCAGCCTCTCATCACCCCACCCAACAGAGCTGTGTCCCCACCCCTTAACTGCTGCTAAGGTAACCTACCACCTCTCCGCTGCCCCATCCGGGGGTCACTTCTTGGTCTCATTGAGCTTCTCAGCAACAGCTGAGTCGACCACTTCTCCTCCTGGAAACCCTCATTTATCTGGACCTGGAGATTCCAGTTCACCTGGCCCTCCTACCTCACAGGTCACTCCCCATCAGTCTCCTCTGCAGCTTCCAACCTGTCATCACTGGGATTCCTCCTTGCCTTTTTCCTTTTTCCTTTCATTAATTTTTTTTTTTTTTTTTTTAGACGGAGTCTCGCTCTGTCGCCCATGCTGGAGTCCAGTGGCATGATCTCGGCTCACTGTAGCCTCTGCCTCCTGGGTTCAAGCGATTCCTGTGCCTCAGCCTAGGACTACAGGCACCCACCACTACACCCAGCTGATTTTCATATTTTTAGTAGAGATGGGGTTTCACCATATCGGCCAGGCTGGTCTCAAACTCCTGGCCTCGTGATCCGCCCGCCTCAGCCTCCCAAAGTGCTGGGATTACAGGCTTGAGCCATGGCGCCCGGCGACATAGTGAGATCTCATCTGTATAAAACAAAAACAAGGGGGAGGGATAGCATTAGGAGATATACCTAATGTAAATGATGAATTAATTACATCGACGATAAAAAAAAAAAAAAACTATGACCCTATGACCATCTCGTCCTCCACGCTAAAACAAAAAAACTGACCATCTCATCCCCCACCCTTATAGATGAGAAAGCTAAGGCACCCAGAGGTGAAATAACCTACAACCTTCCTAGGGTCAGGCATGATGTGAGGGGAGGAGCCAGGCACAGCTAAGCCAGGAGCTGTGGAGCCTCTTACCCAAGGCCAGAGTTGCCCCAGGGATGCTGGGATGGCCAGGGCAAGGGTGTCCGCAAGATGCTTGGTCTGATACTAAACATACAGTATTTATAATTTTGTTTTAATTCTCACTATCAATAAGTTTATTTGTTCATTGTATTTTCCCAGGAAAAGGAGAAGGGAAGGGAAAAGAGTCAGCATGTGTTATAAAATGATTAGAAAATGGGAAAGGAAGTACCTGGTACAGCAAAATCAACCATCAAATGAACATACCCCAGTGATGGAGTCATCAAAGCCCAAAGGGGCTCAGTCTCCTTCAGTTCAGGAATGAAGGGAAGGGATGAGGAAAAGAAGAGACAGGTTCAGGCTTTCCTACCCCAGTGTTTATAGTTCTTCCTGCTGCTAATTATTATTATTACTGTATTTGGGCTTGTTAGAAAATTCTGCTTGGCAAGGAATTCCTTCCTCAAGGATGGAGCCAGGCAGAGGGCAGGGTATGGGCCAGGGCTGGGAAGTGTCAGGAAAACACCCTAAAGCCATTCCTGGGAGGTTTCAAGCCCCCAAAGGATTATTGGAAAACTGAGACTTCAGGCAGGAATTTTAGCCATCCTAAGAGTTCTGAACCTGGAACCCATGGATAGCATTCTGGGGACCATGAACCAGAGCTGGTAATTACATCTTTATTTAAAATTAACCTTTAACACCAGGTGCAGTGGCACTCACTTACCATCCCAGGTACTTTGAGGCCTCTAGCAAGACCCCTGTCTCAAAAAAAAAAAAATTAACCTTTAACTGAAATCTGGCATTTTCTTCAGTTATGAATGTAGGTGATATTCCGTCTCAACACATTAAAGTCACTGAAAATATCTCAAAATAGCATTTATTTATTTATTCAGAGACAGAGTCTTGTTCTGTCGCCCAGGCTAGAGTGCAGTGGCATGATTTCGGCCTACTGCAACCTCCCGGGTTCCAAATGATTCTTCTCCCTCAAGCTCTGAGTAGCTGGGATTACAGGCACGCACCACCACGCCCGGCTAATTGTTGTATTTTTAGTAGAGACAGGGTTTCACCATGTTGGCCAGACTGGTCTCGAGCTCCTGACCTCATGATCAGCCCACCTTGGCCTCCCAAAGTGCTGGATTACAGGCATGAGCCACCACACCTGGCCTCAAAAGAGCATTTATCCTCATCTCCAAGATCATAGAAGTTATTACACCCACCCCTAGAACTTGTTACTTAATATGTTAATAACTAAGCAAATAAATCATAGACCTAATTGTAAGAGCTAAAACTATAAAACTCTCAGATGAAAACCTAAATGTTTGTGACCGTGAGGTAGGCAAAGCCTTCTTAATTATGATGCTGAGAGGATAAGGAACAAAAGAAAAAGATGAATTGGAATTCATAAAAATTAAAACTTGTCTGGCCGGGCATGGTGGCTCACGCCTGTAATCCCAGCACTTTGGGAGGTTGAGGCGGGTGGATCACCTGAGGTCAGGAATTCGAGACCTGCCTAACCAACCTGGTGAAACCCCGTCTCTACTAAATACAAAAAATTAAAACTTGTCCCGCAAATTATACCATTAAAAAATAGCAAAGACAATCCACATAATGAGACAGGATATTTGCAAATCATGTGTCTAACAAG